GTGAGTGAGTGAGAGTGAGAGAGTGAGTCAGTGAGTGAGTCTACACATCTTTCATAATGTACTTTCATCTGTAATATTACCATCCTCTTCTTTTAGGAGCCCTGGTGGCGTTGTGGTTACTCAATGGGCTGCTAACCATAAGACCAGCAGTTAGAAACCACCAGGAGACAAGCTGGGCTTTCTACTCCCATAAAGAGTCAGAGTCTGGGAAAACCACAGGGGCACTTTCGCCCTGTCCTGTGTGTACCTATGTGCTGGCATTGACTCCAAGCAGTGAGTTTGGTTGGGTTTTCTTTTCTTTTCTTCAATGTCTGTCCATTTGTCTACATGTGGTTTATATTTGTCCATACTGGTTGTCTCTGCTCCAAACCTCCAAGAAGCTAAAACCATTCCCTGTCTAAAATCCAGATAATATAGCTCTCACACTACTCTTATCATCTGATAATGAAGATGAAGTTGAAAGGGGAAATGTACAATAACAGAGACGCCAGCCATTTTACATTAACAGATGAATCAACCTTTTCAGTGGTCAGAATTTGTTGTATAACCGAAGAAATTTTAACATCACTGAAGATTCACATACATTTGGAAGAAATAACAGGCATACAATGAGGATCCTTGTACACTTCACCCAGTGTTATTCAATGGCAAATTTTGTAAAACTATAGTATACTATCACAATCAGGATATTGATACTGCTATGAGGGGCCATCAAAAAGATCATAGACAAATTAATAAGAGATAATGTATTTTTTCCACGATTTTTTGGAAGACTTCTTAGAGTCCACTAATCTTAGTCCAATTTTCCCAGTTTTACTTTTACTCATTTGTGAGTGTGTGCACATATGTATATATGTGTATTAAGTCCTATATAATGTTACCACCTGTGTAGGTTTGTGTATGTACCATTACAGTCAAAATACTGAACAGTTCACATAGCACAGGAATTCCTCATGTTCAGTGGGTAAGATTTAAATAATTATCAAAATCTTTTCTTTGTATAGTTTCTTAAAGAAGTGAAAACTCATATACTCACCCATCTGGCTAGGGCTTCTTTGATTGTTGTTGCTTTTGCCTATTGAAAAAAAAAAAAGCTGTCTTCATTGATATGATTTGGTGATGCAATTTTTAATAATTAAGAGCCTTAGTTGCTTCTACCATTAAAATAATTACCCTCTTTCTTTGAGACTTAATATACAAAGAAAGTATTTTAATTTCATGTGATCAGAATGATTCACTTAAATGTACATATTTCTCAGAGAAAAGAGAAAAACCCCAAACATTATTTAATGCCCATACACTTGACTCCATCTAGTTTACAAAAAAAAATACATTTTTTACATTTGATATTAAATATATCATACTTCATTCATCCTAAGATGTATATTCTTTTTATATCTTTGAAATTTTGATCTTACACTCAAGAACAATTTATATTTTCTCTAGAGCAGCCCTGGTGACATAGTAGTTGGGTGGCTAACTGCTAGGTCAGCAGTTTGAAACCACAGCTGCTATGCGGGAGAAAGATGAGGCTTTCTACTCCGAGAAATTCACAGGGACAGTTCTACCCTGATATACAGGTCACTATACATTCACGTAGACTCAATTGCAGTAAGTTTGGTTTGGTGTTGAAGCAGATGGTAAAATTTAAGAAAAACAACCATTTTATCTGAATTACATACATATATTTTTTTATATACTTGCAAAGGATGGTATGCCATATGAATGATAAGAATCTCTATATCTAAATATGTTTATAAGAACTCTATTACTAAGCAGAAATAACAATTCTAAAGTGATAAAGAAGTTTTGTCATAATTTAATTCCACTTATTTGTCTGTCTTAGGGAATAAGAGAATGGTGTATTTTATAATCAATTGCATATTAGATTTAATTTAATACACATTCAAAACTTCAATGGTGAATAATGAAATATATTTTTAAAGCATTATTGCTGGACTCCAATTGCTTTTTTAGGTGGGTAAAAAGAGAGTGAGAGAAGTTCCAAACAATAGCAAAAGTAAAATTTTTAAACATTATATGTAGAAATAAGGACATACTAATAAATAATCCTTGAGCTACAACTACCAAATAATTCAAAAGAGCAAAATTGTGAGGTCTTCAGTAGTAGAAACAAAACTCATTGCTTTAAATAAGTTTATCAGGAGACTAGAGAAAGAAAATGAGTGTGCTAAATATTCCAGAAATGTGAAAGATAAATTTAAGTACATCATTACAAACACAAGAAAGTAGAAGGAAATGCACAAGAAGAAGCCTGTGAAAAACCAAACA